CCCCTTGCAGTCATCGACTGGTTCTGGCTCGTGTGCTTCCGCCTGCTCCAGCCCCGGGACGGCACCAAGCTGGTGCCGGGGCGAGACTTCCGGGTGCCGAGCTCCCTGGAGGGCAAGGTGGCCATGATCACGGGGAGCACGCAGGGCATAGGCTTATGGTGCTCCAACTTACTCTAGCCTTGATCACCAGAAGGAATTTCGAGCCCCCCGGAAAAATACCGAAACTTGAGGGTTTCCACACGTCGGGCCCTGGGAGACACCCGTCCGAAACTCCTTCGACACTCGTTCGACACTCTGGGGACACTTTTTTCTGGGTGCTCGAAACTATGTCTGGGATGTGGTCCTGAAGTACGTTCGGAGCAGCATAAGCATAGGCCTGGGCATGGCCAAGCGCTTCCACGGCCTGGGGGCCGACGCGGTCCTCTCGGGCCGGTCCGCCAAGTCCTGCAGCAAGGCTCGGGCCGGGCGAAAGGGGGGGATTGGGAAAGGGGGGGTTACCAAATTTGCTGCATGCAGCTGGTTTCGGCCACACCGAGGGGCCCATTCCTCGCTACATAGCCGCATCTGGCGCTGGGAGGCGCCGGGAAAATCAGCTACGTGAGCTGATTCTCAAACCCCCCCTTTGCTATCCCCCCCTTTTGCCCGACCCGAAAGGCCGTGGCGGAGGTACGGATCGCTACTGACCGCTGGGGGCGCACGGCGTGCTTCCCCGTGGACCAGGCCGATGCGGGCAGGCCGGCGCCCAGCGCCGCCGAGGGCTTGCCAGCTTAGAGCATACACATATTGTTCATGTCTAAGTCTTCGAAGATTCGTTGATATTTGGGGGGGCCACGATCCTCTCCCTTCTAACTGTTCTGTCCTGGGCCTCTTCCTGGCCACTGGAGGGCCAGGACCAATCAGAAACGAACAGAATCAGAAAGGAGCGCGACCAGAAAGGAGCGACGTGTTGCCCTATTATCCCTACGCTTTGGCATCACCTTGCCGCGGTGCTGATCCTGAGGATGCCCTCGGTCTCTGAGGGCACGTCCCTAAGATTGTCCTCGCCCTGGGCCTGCCGATCTTAGGAATACAGTCGGGGCCCTGAAGAAGGAACCCTTTTCGTTGGGGAGGGGCTCCGCGTTCCTTAAGTGTTTCACAGCTTGCCTTATGTTTTCGATAGGAAATCGAAGTTTAACTTATGGAAAAAAGGGGCCTCGTTCCTTATTTAGGGTTCCTTAGGTCAACGCCCCGACTGTAGGGAGACTAAGTTCGAGGCTGGCTACGGGCGGCCCCGCCCGCGGAGAAGAACGAGCGGACCAGCGCCTTGCCATGTCTTCGCGGACCTCCACAGGCGGTGGATGTGGATAGAGTCGGCCCCCCGGGGGCCAACATGTACCAAAACGACGCGAAGATCGGGACAACATCGGATCGGGATAACTCGAAATCTCTGAGAATCGGCGGGTTTGGAGGATGTATTGGGCGCCGCGGCCGCTCCAGAGCGTTCCGGAACGCTCTGAGAGCGCTCCGGAACGCTCTGGAGCGATTTGTCCCGATCCTAGCCCTGTTTTAGATACCCCTATCCACCGCCCGCTGGGGCACCAGGACGTCGTCTCCCAGGCGGTGGATGTGGATAACTCCCCGCCTCGCAGCCCCGGTCCCCGAGCGCGAGCGTCCCGAGGAGTGCCCGTCCCCCCCCCCGCCCCGCGGAGCGGAGCGACGCGCTGTCCGCTCGCAGGCCACAGCGCGTCGCTGGGGCCGCCACCGCGGCACGCTGAGCCGCCGAGCAGTAGTTTTAAGTCGGGCCTGTTCCTCTACAGGAGGAATGTTCAATCATATTTGTTTTCAAGCCGGGGGACGATTGTTTGACTTGTTTCGATGTGTGTAAGTATGGTTTGACCGAATTCTATTTGTCGTCCAAAATCAGCCTGTAGGGGGACATGCCCGACCTAACAATAGTTCCTGTCCGCAGCAGAGGGTTGGTATGTCCTCCCGTCTTCTGCTCTCCTCCTCCCCTCCAAGAGGGAGAGGGCGAGGGGAAGCGAGGGCCGAAGGAGGGAGGGGAGAGGGGGGGCAAGTGGGGTGCCAAGGGCGGGACCAGGTCAGGGCCAGCCAGTCGTGCATGATTGGGGATGCCTTCTGGTGCAGACGCGGGCCTCCCGTTCGATCAGCCCGACCGATCCCCTGGAAGCGTGCCATACGGTGCCTCAGGGGGAGCGCGAGCGCAGCAAGACGACCAAAGACCCGCACTCGAAGCGACGTACATCTCCCCCTCCAGCAGTCGTGAGGCCAGGCGTGTTGGAGCAACGTGCCGAGGTCCCCGGTAGGCCCCCGACGTGCCCCCGAGGTCCTCTCCGGCCTTCAGAGGCCTTTGCCGCCGCGCCAACCTCGCGACGGCCAGTGGCCAGTTTGCTTTCTGCAGTGCTCTGCCGCCGCGCGGGCCCGCTTCCCAGCCGCCGGGACCGCCGGCAAGACTGCTCGGGGCAGAAGGCCGCCCCCCAGGGAGGGGGTCGAGGTCCGCAAG